CCCGCCATCGGGCTTCGATGGCCCGCTCCCCAAAGTAGTGTTTCCCGTTAGTTTTCCGGACAGGAAAACTCTTCAAGTGCTGCTGATGCTGTACAAAGCTGTAATTTTGGTGTTTAAAAACCTACATATGTGAGGAAAAACTAGTGCGGGCTCCATGGGTGTTCGTGTTGCATACGCACAAAATTGCAGGCGTTTTGCCTGTCCGGGCACTCATCACCTCACCCACGGCCCGCGGTGCCAACGGCGCGCGGGCTTTACTGCGAGGATCCAAAATGGCAGAGCGCTTTCAATTCTTCGTTTATACTACAAAGATATCTCCTAGGCAAAAACAGTTGCATATAGGCGAAGGATGTTAGTATCTTTTGTGCATTGTGCCGAGCATAATTGGTTTGTAGAGCATTTATTCATGCCTAAGATATGTCTACGAAGTATAAATGCAGAATTGTTATAGGTTTTCTGTCATTTTAAATTACAGTTAACAGTGGCGTGGCGTGCTTTGACATGTATCGATTGTTACGCCATTTAAACCTATAGTAAAGAATCGATTATTAAGGTGCTCACTGCAAACACCCTGTTTATTCATCCTTTTCCACAGGTTTAAATGGCTTAATTATCGATATATCACAAAGCACGCCACGCCACTGACAGTTAAAGCCGCCGCTCAATGAAACGAGCCTTTCGGAGAGCTTGAAAATGAAATTCTAACTAACACTGCAAATTTTGATGTTAAATTTTTTCACATTGTAACTGTATGGGGGGACTCTTTAAGGTAGTTTTAGAAAAAAATCAATGGAACCACTTCTAAAACCCCTACGTTCCATATTAGCATCTATATGAGCATTTAATTTTTCCATATTTTGTCCAACTTTCCTCGTTGACTCACTTCACTGAGCGTCGCTGGTGAGACGGATCTGAAGTCGAAACGCCTTCACTTTGTGCGTTATGCAACACGGACATCCATAAAGCGCGAATAGTTGCATCCAGGCGTTACAATGGACTTTGTTTGGCATCCTTCGCCTCGCATGCGATACTAATATTAAAAGCTTTGATTGTTTCTCTGTCCTATATCTGAACTTAATTCCAGTATTGCTTATTGTACCAATGAAGTAAACCATCACTGATTTTTATGGCGGCACTGTTATTTTTCCGGGAAATGCACCATTTAAATGTATATATCAGAACGTTTCCGGCCCTCGAAATTGCAAAATATAAGTATCTGAGCATACTGGAAAAAACAGAGTCCAGACTCTTAAATACATTGATAAGAAAAAATACTCTTGATTCAATCGGATTTTTGCTTAAACCAAGAACCAAGCCTCTTAATTTGAGTGGATTTCCTTTTGATTTCAGCAAAAATCTGATTGAATCAAGAGTATTATTTCTTGTCATTGTTTTCAAGAGTCTGGAATCTAGATTCAAGCGACTTTTTTTCCTGTGCATGGTACATAGAATTTCCTTCGTCCTACCTCAATGAGTTGTGCTTTGCTTGGATTTTTTTTTTTTTTTTCCAATGAGCACACTAATTTTGACGTTCAAGTGGGGAATTTTCAGAGCGCATAATCCTGACGCATCGCACTGAATTTGAAACAAAAACAATGACCAGTGATCCCAAAAAGGATTGCAATTGGAAATATGTAACATTACAAGCCTAAAAACACGTAAATTCTAGGCACAGTATGGCGAAACTAGAAAAGTAAAGTCTGGTATATATATTAGTAAAAACTATATGAGGGGCTTGGATTACAAGGCTTATAAGTGCAGTTTTTGAAAATTAAAAAAAATGGATATATTCACAACTTCAACTAGAACTAGTTTGAAAGTATTTTCTGTGAAAAATTCACAACTGAAATCCAACTTTAAAGCATTGAAAAGCGAGTTTAAACTTCCTCTCCGCCATAAGACTCCATGTACTTAATTTTGAAACTTTAAATACGTATTTCTCGAAATAGCAAAAACTGCACTTATGCGCCTTTTCCTCCAAGCCTCTCATAATATCTTCTGCTCTTTCCTTCCTAAAATGTGGGCTGCGCATAATAAAGCTTAAAATGGAAATTTGGAACGACGATCAAATTTTATTCGTGTCAAGCAAGCCCATTGGACGTGTTGACTATATATCGCTGTCGCTCCGTCATTTTGGAATGAAGTAAAGTTTTTCGAATGACTGAAGATGCACGGTAGTAATACGATCACTTCTTCCTTCATCGGGCCTGGTGAAAGTCGAATTTATTGTGAGTATTACGTAGCTGGAAAAATCGTCAGCCGAAGACGTAACAATCACAAGGTCTTGGCTCTGATCCAAAATTCGCGGAATGTGAATCTTGACATCTACGAGCATAAAATAAGAGAATATATGATATTCATCCCTGCGTCATGGCTAAGAGTATTGGGCACAGCTTTTACTAGCTTCAGTTTTAACATTTTACCGGTCGGCATATCCTTTGAAAGTTTGTACATATATTTCGATTTGGCATTTGCAGGAATTATAAATAGCTTTCTTCTTCTTGCGTCTCGGTTGATGAATTCATCGTATACTTGGAAAAATGTAAATAAAAAGGTAAAAAATATAAACAAATAAATCAAAGTTTAAAGCCATGAAGTTTTTCAAGATTCTTTGTGACTTTTGAGAAAGTTACCAGTTTTGTCCCGGTCGCTTGAAAATTTTATAGCAATGAGCAAACCGATAGGTATTTACATTGAAAATTGTGCAACAGTGTAGCATTACTAGCTATTTGGATTACATTTTGAAATAAGAAACCGCTATCTCTTGCTTTCCATAAAAGCACCTTCCTGCATAGGGAGACCAATGGCACATATTTTGTTTCTAAAATGAGCCAGAAATAGTGGTTTCTTAGTGCAAAATATGATCCATTTGTTTGTAAAAGAGGGCTAAAAATCAAATATAAGCCTGCAAACATTCCAAAATAGCCATTTTTTGAACATGAATTGAACAGTTTTAGCAAACCTGTCATAGGTAGGTATCTAATACCTATGTTAAAGGCAAATAGTCAAATCAGGCATTTTGTCAAATGCCTAGGCAAATAGTCAAATATTCTAACATAGAATGAAATTTTGATTTTCTACCCTAATTTTAGACAAAATAATTCGTTGCTCCAGTAAGAAAGAATTCTCTGTGAAAACATGCAGCATACAATAGTATTTTAAGCAATTTTAAATTCCTGAACGCATACTTATCAGGATATTTTCAGCACGGCATAAAACATAGAATTTTTAAAATTTTAAGATTCAAATGTACTAAAGGCATGTAAAAAGGAAGGAACGAGGAGAATCCGCGGCTTTGAAGAGTTATTCTTTCCAAAATATTGAAAACCCGTGAACTCCTCGCCATACATTTACAGAATTCCGTAAACTGTCAAAATTTGATTACTGGTCTCGGCATTTGATTTGACTAATTGCCTTCGACATCTACATTTGCCTTTTCGCCGGATTGAAGATGTGGAATAAAAACGGAAGCTGAGGAAAATGGCATGGGACAGGATCCTTTACTGCCGTGCTGAAGGAAGAACGCCGTATGAACATTCGAGAGTTGCCAAATTACCCCGGATAAAACATGAATTTTTAAAGCAAATTATGCATATCGACGGTGCAAGTCGGCAATCACATAACTCGGTTTGCGACGTCGCAGACTTCCTGTCATACTTTATTTTTTAAATGGAAAACTACTCAACGGCAATTCTTTAAAACTGTCATGATTTTTCTTCTCAATGCGAAGAAAATTCTGCAAAAACTTCAAGAAATAATGCCAATTTGCTCTCCTTTAAAAAAATGACGTAGAGGCGGAGATTTTCAGACACCGCAAACGAGTTATGTGATTGCAGACTTTCACCGTCGATATTTTCCCTTGAAATTTGCAGAAGTTTTAGATAAAATTGCGAACAAAATTGTCTAGAAAAATTGAAGACGAATATTAACGATTTTCCTAGTAAATTAGATTTTTTATTGAAGGAAATATGGCAGCGTCTGAAGGCTCATACGGCGTTCTTCCTTAGAGCACCGGCAGTTTACCCTCGGATCCATCGTGTCGCCGCCGCGGCGCGGGTGAGGGCAAAGAACTGGTGGCGCGATCCGCGAACACGCTCGCTAGCCCTCCGTCGGCGCACGGTGGATCGAGTCAATAGGAGAGGTCGGACATGAACTTTTCAACTAAACCTGCACATTTTGATGTTTAAATCGTCATATTTTATATTGTAAGGGGTGGTTCTAACAGAAAATGGAGATGTTGCATGTGTGAGGGATTTGCGCTTTGACTGTTGTTCCTTATTGTACCCATTTTTATCGAAAACCCCTCATTTAGGAGATGCCTGTGTGAGGAATTTGCCATTTGACTTTTGATTCTTACGTAAAAGTTCGCGAGAAACACGATGGTGCCACTGGTTTTCTCTGAAATCATCTCCCAAGCTCAAAAAAAGCTCTCAAAGTGAGGCCAAAAAGGAGGGGATATCCTACGCCATCCTGAGAGTCCACGTCTAGATGAAGACAAACTCTCCATGCAAAGATAGGGAGCAAATACATTAGCAGCGATGCCGTGTTTTCAGTTTTGGAGTCCCCAAATAAAGTGGCTGCCCTGTCAATGTATTTGCTCCCTATCTTTGCATGGAGAGTTTGTTTTGATGTAGAGGTGGACTCTCAGGGTAGGGCAGGATATCCCCTCCATTTTGGCCTCAACTTGAGAGCTTTTTTTGAGCTTGGAGATGATTTCAGAGGAGACCAGTGGCACCATCGTGTTTCTCGCGAACTTTTACATAAGAAACAACAGTCAACTCGCAAATCCCTCACACATGCAACATCTCCATTTTACGATGAAACCAATGGAACCACTTTTAGAACCTCCGAGTTGTTTATAAACGGAGCCATGAGCTTTTTAAAGTTTCCGAATTTTGTCCGACCTCTTCTATTGACTCGCTCCACTGTGCGGCGTCGGGCAGCGTGGTCTCGGCGATGCCCCCGGTGGCGCTGCTGCTGCCACTGCCGGCCGCTAGACCACGAGTGTCAGCTTTCGTTTCAGTCCTTCGTCCGTCTCGGCCACCGCGCCATCCCCTAGCGCTTGTCCCTCCCAAAGCTTCACCCCGAATTTCCGTTAGTGCTTCCCAGCCCTGTCTAAAAAGTTCCCTCCATTTTTTTCGCGCCCGTTTTCCGCTTCATCGTCGCGGGTCGCGGTTCGCCGATTGCCATTTCCCCGCGCGCGGAAACAAGTTTTATTGTTGGATAGATCAAGATGATTTTCTGCTCATCGACGCCGTAACTCCTCAGATTTTTTGAAAACGAAGGTAAGACGTGTGTTACACTATACCTACTGCCGTGCGAGGGAAAAACGCCGCAGGAGCCTTGAGAGGTCTTCAAATTTCCCTCACTGAAAACTAAATCTACTGAGGAAACGTTCTATGTTTTTTTTCCAAATTTTTCAGGTAATTTTGTGCGCAATTTAATCGAGCATATCTCAAAAATTTCCCGGAAAAATAGGCGTTACTTCCCTCAAAAGTACATGTTTTATCCGAAAAAACGCGGCAACTCTCAAATATTGATGCTGCGTTTTTCCCTAGCACGGTGGTATATTCTGGTCTGGAGTGTTGCTTCAATCTCAGGTCGTGTTATTTGCTGCAGAAACTGGATTTTGAACTTAGCGCACCAGTTGGATCGCATGTAGCAGAAAGGAACCGACGGTGTTTTCAAAATCGTGTAATTTCTACTTTGATTTGAAAAATATTAAACACATGTTTACAATATGTACTACACGATCGTTTTGCTTTTAAACTGGCGTTATTTGGTAGAAGAAAAATAATTATCTACTATTTAAGCCATTTTTGGATACATATCAAGTTCCACGATTTTTATAATACTTTAATCACGTTGGTGCCCCTCTGTTAAATGCGGTCCAGAGTCGATGCCGGTTGCAAGATTAATTTTCTTATGGGCTTCTTGCGTGATCAATAATTGAAGCGCTTATTTCGAAAAGACCCCAACTCTGGAGAGAAAAATCCAGGATACAGGAAAAACTACTCACAAAAGAGTCAGGAAAGGGTTATTTTTCCGTCAAAAACTCAACTTCAAAAAAATCCGTCTTGGCATTTTTTCGACATAAGCAATTTTAATAAATATAGGTACCCGATTTTTTTGCGTGCTCTTTTTAATGTAAAAATTGAAATAAATGTGAAACTATAGCCTTTTTTGCCCATCATCCTCAAAAAGTGTCTAACACTTTGTCCTCGCAGAAAAAATTGTGGATACGGACTCGCGAATGAATAATGGGGGAGGGGGCTTAATGAAAAAGGAAAGGGGGGAAGAGTACCGCGCAATTTTAACAATGCCAAATAAGGCACGAAACATGTCACCTGTACCTACCTCCTCTCCAAGTTTCTGGGTTAAGGAGTTGACAGTTAGAGCTGCCTTATCAGTTTATCTATTCGTGTAATACAAAAAAGACAAGGGCTTCGGTTATCATCATGTCACACAAATCATGCACCTGCTTCAAATGACAATAAAAGGTAGCTAGATATAGCTACTTACCTCGGATTTGTATCACTTATCCGAGCTTCCGCTATCGTGCAACTTTAATCTCGACTACTTATGCTGCCGTGCTAAGGAAGAAGGCCGTATGAACATTCATGAGTTGCCAAATTTCCTTCAATTAAATGTTTATTTTTGAGGAAATTTATGAGTATTTTTCCTTGACATCTTTAGAGACCTTGGGTGAAATTGTGAGCAAAATTATCTGAAAAATTGGAAGGAAAATATCCATGAGTTTACCAGGAAATTCGTGTTTTATGAAAGGAAATTTGGCAACGCCTGAAGGTTCATACGGCGTTTTTCCATAGCACGGCAGTATTACTGTGTTCCTACGTATGTCCTACAATAACAATGATAATGCAATCTGTCCCCATCTCAAAGCTGGATCTCGGGCTTGCGTTAATGCATCCCGAATACGAGCGATATATTTCAAATTTTTACCATAAGGTGGATTATTTTAGGGAAATTAAAATTTTAGTTTGGAGGTCAATCTTCAAGTAATGTTTGCTCCAAAAATCATCTTCCACAGTTTTAACATAAAGTCAAAAATTCACCATCGCTATCGATATGAAAATTTTACATGAGAAGGTGTACTTAAATCCCAAATCCCTGGCGCATGCAAGAACTATATTCGTCGATACTTAATTGAAAAGTATGCACCATCACGGATCAAGCAACCTCGTGATTTTTACAGTAAACACTTATTGTTAGGTGTGACTCTAGTTACAACATAAAACTCGATTCGGAAGGTAATCATAAAATAATGACAGTGAATAGTTCTGCGGTAATAAGGAAAAACGCCGTATGGACCTTCAGGCGTTGCCATATTTCCTTTGGTAAATCACGAATTTTCTGAAAAATTTGTGAATATTTTTCCTCTCATTTTTCAGATAATTTTGTTGGCAATTTCACCTTAAGTTCCAGAAAATTTCAAGGAAAAATGTTGATAACTTTCCTCAAAAATAACCAATTTGTGAGAAGAAATTTGGCAACTCTCGAATGTTCATACGGCGTTTTTCCTTAGCACGGCAGAGTTAGTAATTTTTTATATGTATAATACAAAAACACAACTCTGGGGGGAAAAGGCTAAAATTGAAACAGAGAAAACTAAGACGTTTCACCAAAATTCGCTGGGGCATTCTCAATTGAAGAAAACGAATAAAAAAGGTTTTTTTTATATTTTTATTTTTTCGATTGATAATGCCTAAGAGTTGGGCGACACATCTCAATTGTTCCTTTTTCAATTTTACACTTTTCCTCGGGTCATGTCCATGTGTTATACTAATTGGGTTTCTTTAAATTCAAGTAAAATAATTATTAATATTTATATCAATTCATTTTTAATGAGATTTTCAAAAAAGAAGTGTGTGTAAGTGATCTTTTTCCATGCCAGAATTATTTGGAAGGTGAAGGAGTTGAGAAAAAAAAATTTGATTACTTTCCGTGCGTTATATTTCTGTGCGCATTTCGCGGTGACGTCAGAGAAACAGAGGCAAATCAGTGGCGAGGCGTGAGGCGTGGATGGTCGACTTTCGATATTTCCCCATTCGAAGCGCTGGTAAAGAATCGATTATTGAAGTGTCGTTTTGAACACCCGGTTTATCGATACTTTTCCATAGGTTTAAATGGCAGATCAATCGATGTATCGCAAAGCACGCCACGCCGCCACTGGGGCGAATAAAACGGAACCCACACGCGGAGGCTGTGACGGCATTCGCTGCATATTAATTACCTTTTCCGGCCCCAAAAATCTCTTTCTCGTTGAAATGAAATTATTCACGTATCAATTCCGAGCACTGCGTCCGGGCCCCAGAGGATGTAACCCATACCGGAAAAGGAATCAAAATCGTTCACGCACCGCCAAAACAAACAAAACGTCAATGAAAGATGGGAATGAAAAAGCTCGATATCACATCATGTCGGATTCATACAGGATATTTGGAAGCTATTTTTGACGCGAAATTGATATGTGCGTTGCGCGTGGCCGATTGCACCAGCATCTAGTAGATCTTGTGCAACGATTAGCGAAGTCCCCATGCCTGTTACGAGCATACGCACGCACATGCGTATACCCATTCGTCCCGTTGGATTTCAGTTGCCCATACTCTCTTCGCGCAATTATCACACCGAAAATGGGTATACTTTCCTAGCGGTTGAGCTTGATCGAACCGAGAAAACTTAATTCTGATCTGCACCGTGTGACTTCTGAGTTTTTAAGAAAGAAACGACGTGAGCACATTTTGAGACAGATTCCGCCGATGATCCACTCTCTCTACCTTAAAACAAGAACTTATAGGAAAAATTCAGATTAAATGAACATCGGAGGAGGTATACGATAAACCATTCAATACAATTTATAATCATTAGTACGTGCGATTAAGTATCCCTTCATCGGGATGGTTATGCAATTTGAGCTACGTGAGAGATGAATTCAACAAACCACGATATTGTCCGCTACCGGTGCTCAAAATTCAACATGAAATTTCGGATTCAGCTTAAAATTTTGATAATATTCTATTGCTAAGTATTGAGGCGTGCTAATCAACGCTTTCACGTGAAAACATTGTAGTGTACTTTTATTCCCTATGCATTTCTCGTGCAACGAAAAATTATAGGTCTGCACGAGACGTGCATGAATAATGATTATTTTGTCTCTAATGACATAAAATGTAACATGACATGCTCTTGACTGATTGAGATATTTGTTATTCAAATTTGGCAAATTCTTCTCCATAGATTAACTATGATAAATATTCTCGAAGCATACATTCCGAAATTAGCATAAAATCCACAGCTTTAATGCAGAGAAAGTAAACAAGGGGATAGAATTAGATGGAATTTAACCCATTTCAAAGCATAATCAATTTTATGGCTGTTTCCGATTTTTTTTTTTTTTGCAATATTGCTCTCTTTCCCAACAAATTATTTTATTCTTCTGATCATTTTTGCCCCCAAGCCTTTCTCTCCTAAAATTTGGCTGAAATGACATTCTCGGCGCGAGAATGGCGCACAGTTTTGCCTTTCAAGACTCAATTGTCTTTGAACAATCTCAAGTAGCAGACACCATCTTCAAAAAAACCTGCTGATTTGCTGTAAAATAACGCTGATTCGCATTCCTGCCATTCTAAGCCTGATGCTCTCCAAAGGTAAATCGAAATATGCAGTCTGCGTATACAAGCGAGGCAGCGGTGAGGGGACAATGAGTATTATTGAATGAAAAAGAGAGATTGATGTTTACGATTCCTCGCATTCCAGAGAAACGACTATTTTGCACAACTGGTGACCTGCAGTCGAATAACCGCTGATAATTTTCTTCAACATTCTTTCTTGTGCCTCGTGTTTTTTCTTCACTTTCTGCGTTAGGGGTAAACTTATACACATGCTTAACCTTGATAAATTAAATCGTTTAGAACGTTTAAAATTACTTTTTCTTCCTGCGTTTCTTAAAATGGGCAAACTACCGACAGTTATAAATTCTTATAGACGAAATACTCGTAAAATAAAGATAACTCCGTTGGTCCGTTGCATCTTTTAATTTTAACGCAAGTAAAGAAGACAAATGCAGTATTATTCGCCTGGTAACCAGATAAATTGAGGAAGAATCATACCCAGACATTGGCGGAACCAGAAAATTGGCAACATTGTTTTCCCCCATTTAAACCTATGGAAATATATCGATTCTTGAAGCGGTCAGGTGCTTTGGCCAGAATCGATTAATTAACATAGGTTCAAATGGAGGGAATCCGGTGTTGCCAAATTGCTG